TACCCCAATTATCCTGATGTGATTATTACAAATCATATACCTATATGAAAACATCACATTTAGTCCATAAATATATACATACATATGATATACCCATAATAATTGAAAATAAAAATTTTAATAGCTGAAAATATAAGGCACAGAATATGTTCAGTCTAGACAATATTTAAGAGTTCAACTATCCCTAGATTTGGACATTTTAAAAAATGTTTTTGGCCAGGTGTGGTTTCTCACACCTGTATTCCCAGCACCTTGGGAGGCCGAGGCAGGTGGATCATTAGGTCAGGAGTTCAAGACCAGCCTGACCAAGATGGTGGAACCCCGTCTCTACTAAAAATACAAAAATTAGCCGGGCGTGGTGGTAGGTGCCTGTAATCCCAGCTACTCAGGAGGCTGAAGCAAGATAATCGCTTGAACCCAGGCGGCAGAGGTTGCAGTGAGCCGAGATCACACCACTGCACTCCAGCCTGGGCGATACAGTGAGACTACATCTCAAAAACAAAAACAAACAACAAAAAAAAAAGTTTTCTTCCGTATTTTTTTTCTTGAAGGATTTAAGTGCCTCATTGCTATAAATAATGTGGTACATATGTTTTGATTGTCTAATCAGGAAAACCAGAATTTATTAAAAATCTGGGTAAGTTAGCATTTAATGATATAAATATTACAATTGATCAACTATTTTCTGTGATATAAATTTGCATTAAAATTATGATTAGAAAATTTCTGTCTCTATACATAATTTTACTGTTTTCTTACACAGTCTTCATCCTTCAGTTATCACAAGTATGTGTAGTTGACACTCAAATGTACTCCCTTAACGCAGATCTGAATTTCTAAGACAAGCCTGAAGGTCTCTCTGACATTTTAAACAGAAGGTTATTCGAACCAAATACAAATTCTCCACCTTCAAATTCTTTTTCATTTCCCTTTTTCTCTGGCTAATGTCTCATTATACTTCTAGCCATTTCTGCACCTGGAAACTTCATTTGTTTCTACCTTTCCCATTCATACCATGTATTTTCTACTAGAGCACTCTTAAACGACCTGTGGTTGCCAATATTATCTCTCTCATACTCTACTACACACATGAATGCACTAATCTTTTCATTATTACCACAGTTTATCTGTGTTAACCAATTTGTTCCAATCTCTGGCTCAAGATATGGTTTGTGTTTGCCCATCTTCGTGAGTCTTTATTTTCTTATTAAGTAAAGTATTGAAAAAATTGGACAACATACAATTTATTTTCTTAAAAATACTCATTACTACCCTCTTTGGTCATCAATAATCAGTTTCATGTTTAACCATTCTCTAGCCACTTTAAAGTAAAAGAGAAACAAGCGGTTCAATTTAATTATACATAGTATAAAGTATGTTGAATGGCATAGGCTTGACTATCATTGTCATAAATGGATTTACCAAAGCTCTCAGCCTTGTGATCTTAGGAACTTGATTTTATCAGCAGTCTGTATATTAGTTTGGGTCCTCCAAGAAGCAGATGTAATAATGGGATTAAACATGTAAGAGTTGTATTAGGAAAATCTTCTTGTGACAAAAAAAGAGGGAACCAAGGAAGGCTGGAGAGCCCTCGCCCTACAATGTCTGACCTCGAGGAAAGAGGGGTGGAATCCTTATGGATTGCCCTGGTGCAATGAAGTTATAAGGTAAGTTCAGCAGTGCTATTAAGGAATCCCTGGAGGCATAGTTAGAGCAATCCTGTGTGGCCAGGAATGGATCTGTGTTAGCATTTAACCACATTTGGTTATCAGCTGGGAGAAGCTTTTGGGTAGCATAGCCTTGGAAGGAATAGGATTTTAGAGCACAGCAACTGGAGTCTTTGGTCAATTACATCTGTAGTTGCTGGTCTGTATTCTCTTGGCCACCACAACTCTGACAGGTGGTTTATTTCTCAAAGCATAGCCCTCTAGCTAAGCTCATAAGAAATTCAGTTACATTATATTAGTTGCTTTGCTTACACTAAGAATTAACCTGCAGTGTCAAATATTCATATTAATAATAATAATAAATCCCCTCCATGTGAGATTTCTGTCTAGGAGCTGAACTCCAATGCAGTTGAATTGGTGAGCATGGACTCTGAGCAAAGATTTAAATGGGCAATTCAAACTGTAGTGACACCACGATATGACATTTGGATATATTTGCCTCCAACTAAGGCTACAGCTGCTCCAAGAAACATTCAGATCACACATGGACCCAAGAACTCCCCTTCTAGGCAGGGCTGAAAGAAGGCTGCTGAAGTACGCTCCCGAAGTATATCTCTCATATACTGTGCTGACTGGTCCCCTCTGTATTTGTTAGCTTTTGCACAAAACAAACCACCACAATACTTACTGGCATAAAGCAGCAATTTATTATCGATTTCTCCAGATTCTGGGGTTGGCCAGCTGATTTTTCTGACTGCACCAGCTTGACTGGGACAGGATGGCTTAGGATATCTGGAGATTCAATCCTCACTGTCATGTCTGGGTACTCAGACAGGATGGCAGGGAGAGCAGGGATGACTGGAGCCTTTCTCCATGTTACCTCTCATCCTCCAGAAAGCTAGTCTAGGCTTCCTCACCAGGTGGCATAGGGGTTTCCAGTAAGTAGAAAAGGAAAGCTCCAATACGCAAGCACTTTTCTAATCTCTGCTTTTGTCATGATGTTTTAGCTAAGGCAAATCACATGGCAAATCCCAGAGTCAGTGTGGTGGAAACTATCTAAGGATATCGATGCAGGGAATCCTGAACAAATTGGCTTAGTCTGTGACACCATCTGATTAGTATGTTGCTCTTCCTCTCTCTCTTCCCCAGCCTCCTTGACTTCATCCTTTTCCTCCTATTCCTCATTCTTCTTCTTCATATTCTTTATTATTATAAAATGAATAAGATCACATCTACATTCTTATATTGTCTGATTCTGGTGTAAAAAATATTTATGCTCTAAGGTACACTTCTATCTGTGTTGAATTCAATTGCAACTTGTTAAAATGTTTATTCTAACCCCCAGTCTTGCCAACAGTGACAATCCATATCTTTCTAGAATTCATAAGCACCCCAAGTATCTATGTGTTTTCCTCAGAGAAGAAGCTACAAATATCCCCTTTGAAACTGGTAAACATTACGTTGTGAAATTATGGGATTAATGTTTCATTTTGATAGTACCTGGTCAGTTCACTCAGTAGTGGCAATTCATTATATTTCCTGATTCTAATAAAATAATAGACATGTTTCTTCTTAAGTTTAGTTGTTTGAATGAGAAAATTAGGAGGTAGAAATTGAATAATATACGGCTTGTTAGAAACTATAATTTTCTACTCTATGGCTCTTCTGTCAGCTAACTGTGTTGAGGCTATTATCACTATAATCAGGTGCTGAAGAATATAAACATGAAAGCAACATGCAAAAAATAAAATTAAGTGAAATGCTTTGGGGCTTTTTGCTTGTAATCTAGGTGGTTTCTAGAGCATGAGGTAAAGCTGTGCCAAAGAAATCCTTGGAGGCTGAATGCTTCCCTGCCATTTTCTAGACAGAGGTGTGTGGGTGACCCTACACAGTTTTCATCAGTACCACACATATGCAGAGCTACACTGACATCGTTTGGTGCAGATGATAATCTTAATTTTTAGTCTCACAGATAGGCCTCAGACATCATTGCTGTTAGCCAAACCTCTACAAATATAGTGTTAACTCCTGGAACCCTCTCCTTACCACTAGAAGAGCCGCTAGATTGATTTCACTTAAACTATGTTTCCAGAAAAAATAATTGATCAGATTGGCCATTTGGCACAAATAACCAGTTACTCAATTTTGTACTATTCAACCGGGGTGTGTGAGCGTGTGTGTGTGTGTGTATGTGTGTGTTGATTAGTAAAAAGAGAAACAGGTGACACTGGCACTTGTTTTTTGAAGGTAGCATTTACCTTTAATGACTCAGCTCCACTCTTGCGTCCTCTTGAATTGGCTGGTATATTTCCGCCCTGATAAAGGAAAAAGTCCCTTTGACTTTGACTGAATCTCTGGTTGTTATTTTGAAATTTGCCTTTTTCTCTGGCTCACACTTTCCCTTAAGCCAATACTGGAACTCGTAGAAAATTGGTAGTGTTTAAATATTTCACACTGCGGTCAGATGCAGTGGCTCATGCCTGTAATCCTGGCACTTTGGGAGGCCGAGGTGGGTGGATCACTTGAGGCCAGGAGTTCAAGACCAGCCTGGTCAACATGGCGAAACCCTGGCTCTACGAAAAATACAAAAATTAGCCAGGCATGGTGGTGTGCACCTGTAATTCCAGCTACTCCGGAGGCTGAGACAGGAGAATTGCTTTAACCCAGGAGGCAGAGACTGCAGTGAGCCGAGATCATGCCACTGTACTCCAGCGTGGGTGACAGAGACTGTGTCTCAAAAAAGTAAATAAATAAAAAATGAAAATAAATAAATAAATAAATATTTCACATCAAGCTATTTAGTTGGATTCTGCAGCTGCTGGTGGTCTGAAGTAGAGACATACTATCCTACTTCTTTATGTTGTAATACATGCTCAGTGTCTACTCTGGACCCTTGGGATGGCTGTTTTTTGTTTATGCATCAGAAACTATTTGAATATCACGTAGTCATTCATATTCTACACACATTCATTCAGATGAAGTTATTTTTTAGTAATTGTCATGTTAACAATCATAACTTTAGTACATTCCAAGTTTTTGTTTTATGTTGCTGTCTTCCCTTTTCCAGCTAACACATCTCAGCAAATCTAATGTGATGTCCTGCTGAGTATTTTCTTGATAAAACAAGCAATTCCAATTTCTCTATATAAAAATAGGAATTTAAAATATATACACTTTTTAATATCATTTTATATTTTTGCATATAAAGTTCCAGGAAACAAATGAAAAAAATTATTTCCTATTGTGTTTTGTTTTGTTTCTTTTTTTTTTTTTTCCCAACTCTGAGAACGGCATGTCCCATTTTTAACTCATCACATCATGTTTTTTTTCCAGGACTACAATGATGAAATTCGTCAGGAACAACTACGTGAATTATCTTACTTAAATGGCTCAGAGGACTCTGGTCGTGGCCGAGGTATTAGAGGCAGAGGGATCAGAATAGCTCCCACAGCTCCTTCAAGGTACATTCATTCTTACTTTAAATAAATTAAGGATGATGGCAGGCCTTTTCTGCCCTGCTTTATGTCATGATTATCACTAGCAGTAAACAGCAACATCAGCCACAATCACTACTACCACAGCAAAAACAATAACGATGAAAGCTTATCAGGTACAGAAGAGCTTTACACATATTAACTCACCAAATCCTCCATACTAGGAGATAACTAGCAACTACAGGTGAGAAATTGAAGTAGAGAAAGCTGTAGGAAATTAACCTAGGGTCACGTAGACAGTCTGACTCCAGAATTCACAGTTTATGCTCTTAACAACTACCCCGAGAAAATAAGGCAGCAAACCGGAGATTTTCTACTTTCCTGTTCTATCCTCAGGATAAGAACACACAGATGATACAACTATTCACCTCTTCAAACCAAGATACCCTTGTATGAAGAGAAAACTGTAAACTTTTTCTGTGTTTTAAATGGTCCTTGAATTGATATAGTCTTGCTAGATAAGGAAGTAGATAGATAGAAATACAGAGAGAGATACAGATAACATATGTGCCATCAGCCCAGAAGGCCAGAACACTTCTTGCATGGCTGATGGTAAGGATATTCAAAGTTCAGAGGGTACTTATAGCTCCTCTTGGTGATCAGAGAGGATTTTTATTTGATTTTGCTTATTTGCAAAGAAATTGGTATCTTTTTGTATTAGAATTTGTTTTGCAGGGTTCTGAATTGTTTGAGATTTTAATAGAAGGCATTGGTTTGAAAAGAGTTAAAGTAAAAAATACTTGTAGCCTTCACAGAACAACTGTGTGATTTAATCATTCTCTTCACCTTGTTATAATTGGCCCTTAAATCTCTAAAGGACAGAGATCTAAAATATTATTTCATATATTACATAAAAATTATCTTAAGATATGCTAAGATATTTTTCAGATTCAGTTTATTTACTTAAATTGTACTTCAAATACTTTCAACCACCACTATCAACATAGCCACTGTTTGTAACACTTAAATCAAAAATATCTCAAAATGTTTCTCACTGGTCAGAAACAAAAGTAAAGAATGATAAATTACCAAATAAAATATCAAGGAATACTATTTACTAGAGGTAAAATGCGGTAACTCTAGAAATTCTGTTTCACTAAAAGCAAAACTTCTGAATGTGTTCTAGAGCTTATTTATATTTTATCTTTAAAAAATCAAAAATAAGCTGTCTAATGCTGTTCAGGATCATTTGTTTATGCTAAGAATTAATGTGACATAACACAATACTGTACTTTTTTATGGGATGAGTGTTTTATAAAACCGTGTACATTTCTAAACTCATCTTGATGAGGTAAAAAAGACATTATTGCTAGTCATCTTTAATGGATTTAATCATAAGTTAAATCATATGAAATTGCAACTTTTGTAGTTCAACAAATGCCAATTTTACAGCTTTATGTGGTTGAAACTAAATATATATTTAGGATGCCTGAGGAGGGCACACACTTTTCTATTTCGTATGCCTTAAAATGGGGGGGGGCGCATTAAAATAATGAATTTATCTGCATTTGATAGTATGAAATCATCATAGTAATAGATTTTGTTTTGTTATTGATATCCCTGAGTTGAATTTTGCATCTGGCATTTTTGAGTGGACCATATAAGAGTTTAATTTCAGAGAAGCCTTATTCTAAGATTTCAATCCATTTAAATAATTGAATATAGGATAGTGCATTATGGTCCGGATTTTAATATATCTTCTTAGAAGAAAAATTTGATTGAAAGATTTTACTGTTTAATCCCATATAACATACAGATCTGATACTATATACATAAAAATAAAATTAAATTAACATTAAAAATTAAATTTCATTTCCAATGCTGTACTGATATCATTAGTGGTGCTAGCGTTAATGAGAGGAAATGAAACAGAATTTTATTGTCTTCTGTTTCAAACAGTATGATGAACTGTATCTACAATTTAAAATGAATAAGAAAATAGCCTTGCAAAATAGAAAATCATATTACTAAGAGAACTTTGCGTGAGTTAACAGTTGCTAATTTGAATTAAGTCATGAAATTATTACTGTATGAAGTTATTTAATTACACTTACATTCAAAAAGATGATATCTAGAATATTTTTAAATTATATAATTTGTTGAAAATATATTTAATTAAAACAATTTGCATTTCAATAATCCTATCTATAACTTTAATTTTCCAATAATAATGTGCACCAGAGAATAAAGTGTTACATCTATATATTGTAATAATAATTTATTTTGAATAATTGATGAATAAAAATATATGACATCTCTAACACATATCACCACTACATGTTACAGTGAGTGCAGTCACTGGAAAATGAAACATTAGGGGTAAATTTTGAAGGCTTTTGTTTACCACATTGAGAACTAATACATAGAACTAATAGAGTTTTTTTAAAGAGGAGAGTAATCATATTTATTTATATGAAAGACTACTCAGTTATCACTGTGGATGATGCAGAAGAGTTACAGTGATTGAGAGAGAGAGACAGAGACAGAGAAACCATCTTATAGCAGGGGAGCCAATGAGAAAATGAGTCCATCATCCAAGGCAGGTAACAATGAGCAGCATTTGGAATAGACAGGGATAGGGCCAGATTACAGATTGACATTTATATGAATTAATGCCAATTAGATGTTGGATAAGAAGGGTCCCCCAAGAGAAAGATAAATTTTTGGTGTCTAGCCTGATGAGAAATTGGTGATATCATTAAGAGTAGGTGAAGGATCAAATTAAATGAAGAATATAATTATTCCTGTAAATAATCTGAGCTTTGTGGATGGCTGGTGTGACCTCAGGCAGGTAACTTGTACTCTCCATGCCTTAATATCTCAACTTATGTTTAAAATAGTTTAGAACTGCCCACATGACAAGCTTGTCAAGATGCTTAAATTAGAGTATTCATTTAAGGCAGTGGTTCCCAAATTGGCCTGTATTCTGGAATCACTGGGAGCTCCCTGTCTCCAGAGATTGTAGTTTAATTGGCCTAGGATATGGCCTGGAATTTGGAACTTTCAAAAGATTCTCAAGTCACTTTAACATGCAGGCAAGTTAAGAAACTTCTGATATAAGGAAGACAAGCCAAGATATGGCATTGTGTTAGCAAGAAAGAGATTATAGTCATCATCAGAGGTAGGGATTGCAGGGTGCAACCATGAGATCAAGGACAGAAATTGGGTACATCCAGATTCCAAAGTGGGTCCAGGAATAGAAGCCAGTGAAGGAGGATAAGGAGTAAGAAGGAGGAATGAGGAAAAGTAGAGAAAAGCAGAGTCATAAAAGTCGGAAGAAACATTTTCCAGATAATGGTCCACAATCTTAAAAATAGTAGAAATGTGCTGTGGCATGGAGACTGTAAAGAAATCTAGTGGATTTGGAAATCAGTAGGCTACTGGTGATCTCAGCCAAGAGCACCTTCAAAAGAGGGGTGAAAGCAAGAACTAGACTGATAACATTCAGTTCAGAAATGTAGAGGAAGTCAGACAAATAAAGGAAAGGATACTGTGGTGTGGTTTTAGCCAGGGGCAGTATCCTAAAAAAAAGTGATGTGAATTAAGTTGGAGGAGAGAACAAGGAGGTTAATATTCCAGGGAAAGAACATAGTGGATAAGAGGTAATGAGTCAGGTTCAGGAGACAGGTTTGCTAGGGCTGTGTCTGGTAGTCAGTTGATGAAGGAAGAAAATGGAAAATTAGATTTGATAAGATGAGCATCATATAATATTAGAGCAGAAGGAAGTACTAAAAATTTAGAAATCTGCATTTTACTCATTAGAAAAATATATCTACCTCAAGCCTGGGTAGTTATAATACTTACCCATGACTATTCAATGGTATAGTGAAGACTTGTGCATATAGTTTACAGTAGGGTGACCATATAATTTATTGTCCACACATGGATACTTTTGAGAGTGTTAAAATGCTAAACTGATCAGGAAGCTAGGACAACAGTTCTAAAACCTGGACATATGCTCATCTTGCTAATGAGGAAATGGAAATGTGCTTGGAGGAGCAGTGAAGGCAAAATTGGTTTTTACATCCCTTTATATATTATCATGATAATACAGAATACTGTATTCTCAGCCATGTTGTACTTGAAGCTAGCACTGGGCCTCTGGGTCTTTGTGTTTCGCCCTCTCCCAATCTAGGAGAGTATTCTTTATACATTAGACTCACAATAAGTTCTCTGATCATTTCTCTATTCATCAGCTCTATAAGCTATTTAAAACTTTTAAAGGCTTTTCCCGCATTCGTATTCTTCACTCATAAAAGCTCACTTTTATTTTAAGCAAGAAAGAGCAATCTGACTGCTATTCATAGCAGACAGCATAACCTACCTCCCCATATGTGGCTACAGCCAAATACTGTGATTGTTGACATCCCAATGATCATCATTTTTTTTTCCAAAGCTTTAGTGTTCCCACTGAAAGCAGTGCTTTCTAGAGGCCAACCTTTCAGACATAATAATAAAAAGTGAAATAACTGTGCTTTTGCCCAAAGACTTCAGACAAACACTCAACCTTTCTAAAAGCTTCAAAATACCATAAAAATTGGCTACAACCATTTGATCTTACACTTTTATTGCAAGCTAATTTTGTATCAAGAACTGCAATACAAAGTATTCAGTGTATTATTTTTATTACAGATACTAAAGTATTCCTCTAACACCATAGTTACCATAAGAAAATATATTCTGTCAGGAACTGCACCAGCTCAGGGGGTTACATGCATGATGATAAATCAGTGACAAAGAGTTGTGATTTCAAGTGACCTCAAACTTAAACTGCTGTAATAAAATGATATCACTATGGTTAGACTTCCACATTTTATTTAAGTGCAGACAACTTTTTTTTTTTTTTTTTTTTTGGTGAATGACAGCATTGCCCATCACTGTCTATAATCCCCAGCATAGAGGAGATGTAGACATCCAGCTGCTCAGTTTCAGAGATGGTCCAGTGAGTCATATATCAGACAATGCTCTGATTTGTGTCTTCTTGGAGAATTTGGAATTTAATGGGGTTATATTCAGAGTGGGTTTTTCTTTGTTTTTTTTTTTTTTTCTTTGCTTAGGTTTAGTTTATGTAAAAGACAATAACAAAGTATTTTACATGGTTTTTATAAGAACGAATCATAGTCAGTATTTGCAATTATTGTCTTCTATAGATCTCAACACACTTGTATCTATATAATTTCTATTAACACACCACAGACAGAGAGAGAGAGAGAGAAACTTGTACTTCTTTCACTGTATGGAGGCTGTGAGATGAAAGCTTTTTCTGTGATAGTCTCTTTCCTCGCATCACCTGTTTCTCATCTATACATGACTTGTTTCTCTTAGGGGCCGTGGGGGTGCCATTCCTCCTCCCCCACCACCTGGACGAGGTGTTCTCACCCCTCGAGGAAGCACTGTAACCCGTGGAGCCCTTCCAGTGCCACCTGTAGCAAGAGGTGTCCCCACCCCTCGAGCCCGGGGGGCACCAACAGTGCCAGGATACAGGGCGCCTCCTCCTCCAGCCCATGAAGCTTATGAAGAATACGTAAGTACTCTCAAGAAATAAGTTGTAAGGATGAGTTCAATTGATTAGTTAACAAGCTACGTCTCAAACCGTTCATATACCATGAATATAGCAGGTAATGTTTGTTGCAGAAACGAATGTCATTTGCAAGAGAATTTAAGCAGTGCGTTTAAATGAGAGCATTTTGAGAAAAGGTTTCGTTTTACAGGTGTCATCACTGTTAGTGCTAGTTAAAGAGCTTGTATTTTAAGAACCAAACTATCCTGAGGCTTTCTTATCCTTAGGAAGTTTGATCAGATTTCAAATGAGAAATAATTATAAACAAAAAGTGAATTGCCATGTATTCAGAGATTTCCGGAACTTGATAAATATTAGCATAAAACTCAGAAATATTTGACAAATATAATATGATTATATTATACACTTTGGGACTATTGTAAGACCGTGTGGCTGGTCTTTCATTTATATATCCTGACTCTTTCTTTCACCATATTAAAGACGGGATTGGCATAAAAAATTCAAAAAATTATACAATGAACAGACGAAATGCAGTGTTTCCAAGCATCCCCCTCCTTTCCTATCTACTATTATCTTTTGGTCATCTTATGTATCTAAACATCTTTTAACCTTTAGTTCTGATTGTCAGTATTCCACTAATTACACTGTGGTCCTTGTGTTCATTTCTCAGACTAGATTGTGAAACTTGTAAAAAGGGAAAATTTACTAACACTGTAACAATAGGAAGTCTTCTGTAAATGTTAAATTTAACTGATGCAAGCTAGATCATTGTACTATGAAAAAGATTTATTTTGCCTTTAACCTCTCCAGCATGTCCATCTCCTGATCTAGGTATTTGTTTCATTCAACTGTCCATAAGCATGCTGTCCTGTTCAACGTCTTATATAAATTATTTCTCATTAAACATAAACTCATCAAATACAGTTACTGTCACATATGGGGCACTCAAAACATATGGACTGGTTAATAGTCAAAACTTAGGTATAAAATAAAGTGAATATAGTTTATAGGTATTACTAAGAGTATATTAATTTTATCACGTATTCATTTTTAGGAATAATGTTACTACTTAAATATGAAATATTGACTATTGTCTATAAGAGTGAAGTAAGTGTAAAAATCCACTTCTACTGGAACAGATGAAATGTGTTCATCTAAGTATCTTTACTACATCAAGTATTAATATTTAAAAACTTAGATAATCTTAAAATTGCAAAACCAGAAACAGAAATCATATTCTACTCTGCAAACAAACCCACAAGTCAAAAAAACTCAGGGACTAGACCTAGTTCTGCCATTTCTTGCCAGAGACATAGTACGTGAAAAGTAAGTACTTGTTTAAATGAATTAAAATTCCACAACAAGGGTGGCAGGATCACTTTTATCTTTGAGGAACTGTTTAGCTCAACAATCTTTATGTACGTTGTCACTATGGTGTTTTTGTCTTCCAAATAGAGGCTTAAACAGATCAATTTTTAAAATTAAGAAGAGAGAAAAACTTAGTTATTGGGGACCCAGCCGCAAGGACAACATGGAGAGACACTAATTTTTAGAGAGGAAAAAGTATTATGAGCTTGGCGGACATCCCAAAATATATCTAGGAGAACATACTATTGATAATAGTAAAAAGTATATGGATATATTTTTGAAAAACTGTTTATAGCATATTTTATGAAAACCTGTCCTGTATTATATTTTCATTATTTTTGTTTCTAAAAACAATTTAATGAGTAAGGTTTAATACGTGGCTGATAGGCTGCTGATTGCAATCTTTGAAATCCTTAGTGCCCAACCCCGATTAGCACTCAAGAGCTGCTACTCTCTGCTCTAATTTTAGACTATTGATTCCTCTGCAAGGGGTAAGAAAAACAAAAGTTTAAGTGTTTCAATAACAAAATAATAGCACCATGCTGAGTTGATGGTGAAAATCTCAAAGGAGTTCTTAACTTTCAGATAAAATTTCTTAGAAAAGCTTCCTTTTATTGTAAATCACACTACGAGTCAATTCACTCTTCAGACTTCTTTCTCCCCTGCTGAGTTTTCAGTGTTAAATTTCTGACCACATAGAATGTATTTAGGTAATCAAATCCACTCCTGGCAGCTGGCCTGACAAGAAACAGCTTACTGTAATTGAGAATGCTGTTTAAAACCATCATTAGTGTTAGCTGAGTCTTAAAAGTTTTTTGAATTTTAGTTTGTTACACATCATAACCCAGACTTTAAATATTTTAAAGCTTTTTTTCATTGACCTTCTGCTAAGACGGTACATTTACATTTTGTAGATCCATCTTCATGATTGAAGTAGATTTGCCGAATCAAAAATAATATTTCAACAAAAGCTTCCATAGGACAAAATATTAAGCATTATCAGCTCTACCATTGCTAAAAGGGAATAAATTAAAACTAAAACTTTTGAATACCTCCTAGGTTCCAGTCACTGTATATTAATTCACTTAATCTCAGGATAATACTAGCAACTAGTTTTAGATTTTACTATTTTAGTAGGTAAAGAAACTGAAGCTTGGAACTGAGAATTGCATACACTTTTCTGTCTCTGCAACCTCTCGACCTGATGCATTGTGTTTCCTCTTGGTAAAGAACCATAAAGTATCCTGTAGAGTACTATCTCACAGAGAACTCACACCGTTTCACACAGATCAGTTGTACTTCATACTCCCATCTAGACCACTAGCCAGTGTTTTAGTCCTCTCAGCAGTACTTAGGACATCTCCCAGTATTTATACCTGCATGAATATCTCCAACTACAGAGAACTCAATACCTCCAGAAACTAAGTGCTGGAAATATAAAAACTGTAGTTAAAGAGAAACTGTCTGTACTCTAAAAAGTATGCCATCTAGTGGGAGAGATAGCATTAGTCCAACAATTAACACGTATACATTTGCTATATAGGGCTCTTATCTTACTCTCCCTCTATTAGAAGTCATTTGTTATCATCTTATCTCACTTACAAGATTTTATACATCCTAAAGGCAGTGTTTCTTAAATTTGCTTTATCTTTTCTGTTCTAAGTAAAGTGCTTTGAATTGAACCTACTTATGATATTTAAGGGAAAAGGTTACACATATGCACACTAATACATATATAAACATATATATTATGACAGTAGAACACAGCATATAATAAGTACCAAATAGAAAATATGCATGCTCCGGTAAAGGGAATTATCACTGATGGCTATATGGCTGTTTTAGGAAACCTCTAAGACGGTAAGAAAAACAATTGCAAGGAGACCAGGATAATAGTTACAACATTTAGAAGCAGAGAGAAGAGGGAGAAAAGTCCATGCAGAAGGGATGGTAAGAGCAAAGACAAGAAAAGGAAACTTTCAAAGCAAGTGTAAAGAATCTGGAAAAGCAATTTGGTGAAATAGAATTTCTTTAAGATAGCAGGGAAATAATGGAGAGAAAACTAGAGAAGAGTTACATATACCCTCAAGGCTGGACTTCACTTATAATAAAATGCCACCTGAAGATTTCATAGCAGAAGGTAACCTGAGGTTTTGGGGAATCTTATAATTCTTAGTTGTCTAGGGTGGATTAAAGAAGAGGATGAAGAAAGGAGAAGATTTAGGGAATTAACAATAGTGAGGCTTACTGAGATGTGGCCCTAGCTATGACGACAGGGATGAGACTGGAAGTATTCAGGCCAAAGGTAAAACTGAAGGTAAAAACAATAGGATTTGATGGCAAATGCATTTGGAAAGAGTAAGAAAAACCAGGCAGGCCTCACTCAAAGGTGTGTTTGTACATGGGAATGGTTAAAGGAAGAGGCACAGGGAGGAAGGCCATAATGGGGAGGGGTGGACAGTGAAGGAGTGACTTTGACGCTAAAGAAGCTCCCTCCATGTCTGTGGGAGGGGCTTATAAATGTGTTTACGTGGTCATCTCTCTTTGCTGCAAAAGTAAGGTATTTTACCTGCAATCCCCAGGTGACATCCCCACCGATCACACTGCCCTCTGGGTCAAATGGTGGTAGAGGGGGCATGACTATCTGTGAAGAAGAGTTAGACATTTATTTAGTTTGGATTTAAAGAAATATTTTGTTTGCATTATTTAGATATTGCTACTGTTCTGTTGTAGAAATATTTCCAGGAATACTCCTACCATCTCACCTAGTGTTGTGACACAAGTATTCACAGATAGAGGTTTTACGGCTATCGATTGTGAACTACAACACTGATACAGGAAGGATGTGATTAGTGGAGGAGAAGTAAGGTTTGAATTGTATTGGGCCAGAATATGCTCTGTGGACAACTCTTTCAAATAATTCAGCTCAGCTATGAAGCAGACTTGACAGAAGTTTCCCCAAATATCAAAACAATGCTAATGGCTATAACATAACCAGCAATGAGTTGTGAAACAGAAATGCACTTTTTAAAACTATCTGTAACAACTCTATTTTTTTTCTATCAACCAGCTAGAGAAAAAAATCCTTAATTTTCTTTCTTCTCTATAGAAAATATTATCAAAATTATTGTCATATTAGAGGATGATCAAAACGTAGACCCCCAAAAAGCATAGAGATTCATTGACTAACAAAACAGAAATTCTGTATTGTTTTCTAGATTTTGTGATGTTAATAGTATTTTCAGGTTTAGAAAATTTATAGTTGTTTGTTATTGCTTTTCTCATTCAAAATAAATATTCACTTTCCTGCCAACTATGTATACATAATTTTTAAATCTTTTTCTTAAACAGGGAATGCAAAATTATATAATTTTGAGGCCCCATAAACTTTGCATCCCACCCTGAAGAGGAAAATAATGGCAACATTTATAGGAAAATACTCATCTCTATGTGGGACAGAGCAGGGAGAGAGTGTTTAAAGAAAAAACTGTGTAACCTTAGTTTCTTTCTGGTACTAAAAGTCTGTTCTGTGCTTAGCTAGAACCAAGTTAGTGCTGTTAATAAGTATGCTATTCCTTGTGGAAATGCTGTCCTTTTAACAAAGGTTACATAGTGTAACAGTAACAAAGGTTACT